CAACATTAAGAAAACTAAGATCATGGCATCCAGTCCTCTCACTTCCTGGCAAATAGATGGGAAAGAAATGGAGGTAGTGACAGATTTTATTTTCCTGGGCTTCAAGCTAACCACAGACAGGGACTGCAGCCAAGAAATTAAAAGACGCTTGCTCCTTGGGAGGAAAGCTATGGCAAATCTAGACAGCATACTAAAAAGCAGAGACATCACTCTGCCAACAAAAGTGTGTATAGTCAGGGCTATGGTTTTCCCAGTTGCGATGTATGGCTGTGAAAGTTGGACCATAAGGAAGGCTGAGCGCAAAAGGATTGAGGCCTTTGAATTGTGGTGCTGGAGGAGACTCCTGCGAGTCCCTTGGACCGCAGCGCAATCAAACTGGTCAGTCCTAGAGGAGATCAACCCTGACTGCACTTTGGAAGGTCAGATAGTGAAGATGAAACTCAAATACTTTGGCCACCTAATGAGAAGGAAGGACTCCCTGGAGAAAAGCCTAATGTTGGGAACAATAGATGGCAAAAGAAGAAGGGGACGGCAGAGGATGAGGTGGCTTAGATGGAGTCACTGAAGCAGTCGGCGTGAACTTAAGTGGACTCTGGGGGTGGGGGGGTGGAGGACAGGAAGGCCTGAAGGAATGTTATCCATGGGGTCATGATGGGTCGGACATGACTTCATGACTAACAGCAAGAACAACCTACCTACCTGTCCCCTCATATCTGGTACATTTAGGGTTGCTTGATGTCTCAGGGAAGGGGGCTGAAGAGCAATGTATCTAGTTAAATAAATAAAAATTGTTACTGTTCCTCATGTGCAAGCACATGTCTGCCTGCCCTGGTCTTTCTCAGAGGAACTCCAAGAGCTTTGCAGGGATTAATGAAAAAGACAAATACTCTCCTGAAATCCAGATCCTTCACTTTAAACAGTTGGAAAACTCAAGAACAATAATTTCAGGATCCTTTGCCCAAACCAATAACTCAGCAGCTATTTATCAGAGACTTTTGCCACTCATTGCTCACTCACTTTGAGGTAGATTTGTAGATATGCAACCCATCCCTGAGGAACATAAAGCTCACAAGCATTTCAGAATACAAAATTTCCCTTACACGTGGCACATAGCATCCTCAAATAGCACCAAATCCATGGCAGCATTGACTTCATTGTGGTTCTCCAAAGCTTCCACTAGGATCTGGTTCAACGATTCCCAGCTCTGGACAGGCATGTACTTGGGCTCGCCTGTTCCTTTCGCAAAATGGCAAAACATGTTCATCTTCCTAGTCTGTTCCAAGGTCTCCTCGATCTCCTAAGAAACACAGAAGTGAAAAAGAATATTCCATTTCAGCAAAGATGAATCCAGTCTCGACTTAGCAAAAAAACAAGGAAACAAAAACCTCATCAATCTGTGCAGTCTCCTAACTCTTGAGAAGGCAGAATACTGATGTCCAGGCTCTCCCACTGCTACCCTGCCATCCCCTTTCAAACAACACAGTTAATCTTTGTACTATTTATATTTCTGTATGATGGTCTTTTGTCAGACACACATGCGCACACACATCACAGTACAAAGCAATGCTTATCCAGCCCATAGACTCTGTTCCCACAGAAGAGTAGAGAGACGTACTTCCCTCTATAGCACTCAACACATCTTATTTCTTCCCGCTGGGAGCAAGGAGTCATACAAGTCACACCTCTGTTCCGAACGCCCATCTTCTATGTTACAGGCTGGTTCACAGGATTGTCCAGCCCTCTGTGGCAGTCTTGGTTGGTTCTAGTTGTTCAATGCATGATGCATGTCATCTGGAATGGTCGTGGCAATTTTATCATGGGTTGTGGGAACTGGCTAGTGAGCTGCTTGGAAAAACAGCAGCCCTCCCCCTCATCCTGCTCAATCTTGCCCTTGCCCATGCCACTGACCCTGCTCCACCAACGTCCAACCAACGCAGCACATTTATTTTCTGAACCCAGAACACCATGTGATGGTGGTGTGTTAATATTATTACTTTAGTCTTTCACAAGTATGCACTTATGACTGTTTGATATGAGAAGCTTTGCTTAGTCAGTTTCCTACATAGCCTTTAAGTATGTCAAAATTCCCTTCCATTTACTTCCCAGTCACTAAATTTGCATATAATTCTGGGGGGCAGGGGTAGAACTATCAGTGAACCACAGTAACCACTGCAGTAAGTGCTCCAAACCAAGATAGTGGTTTGAACAGAGATGGAGAGACAAGTTCTGCTGTGAAAGACACTGGAATAACCACTGGAGGACCAAGGGAGAAGAATGAGGAGGACAACCTACAGTGAGCCAAATAATTTGTCTGGTACACCATGAGTTGTTCCATGAACAAGCCACCCTGGGTAGACTGCAATAAATGAATCTGATGAAGATAAGTTCTTGTTGTGGCTGAGAAACAACCCACAACCAATGGGATGATTTAGAATTATGGGTGGGTTGTTAACCATAGCAGCAGCAACCCACCTTCTGCTGGATCTGGATGCCATGATAAGCTGCAGTGACTACCCATTGTAACTGAATAGCTGCAGGCACCCCCTGCAACCCACCGTGGCTTAAATGAGCCATGGTGAGCACTGAGGACTGTGTGAATCAGGCCTTTGCTTTAATGATGATGAAGCAGAACTTAGGCTCAGGTAAGTGTCTGGCCAGGACCCACATCACTTACAACGTAAAACTTCTTCACAGCCTCTGTCTGTATTTTATCAAAGACGGCAAAGTCCTTTTCATCAACCATCTTATCATGGTAAACACGACTGGATTCATGCAAGTACAACTTCACCAAGTCCTGGGGCATCTTCAAACATTCAGGAGTTGAAAACAAAATACCCTAAAAGCAAAAGGAGATACACATGACAGGTTGTTTTAGCATGACAACAAATCTGCAGGTGCAGCTGTGCAACCAAAATGTAAAATCCCAATGGCAGCCTATGCCATTGCTGTGTTGGTGACAATGTCCCTCGCAGGTAATTCCTTACCACACCACACTTGAGTTGCATAATACAGACAATCTTGGAATCTCTCTTATTTCCCATTGCATTCTGTGGATACTAATAATATTGTATTTTAGAATTTTATATTATGTAAGCCGTCCTGAGTGTGTCCGCAGGAGGACGGGATATAAATGCTTGTAATAAATAAATAATTACTAGGCCAATCTGTGAATTTAAATTTTAAAAACGTAACAAAGCAGCAAGATGCATATTTAAGCTAAAATATTAAACAGTAATGTTATAGCAACCTCTTTTGCCCCACCTATGATTTTTCTACTACCATTTATCTTGTATAACTACCAATTCCAAACTCTAAACTCAGTGGGCCAGTTCACATGGCAGCAAATTGTTACTTAATTAACTGAAGATCTGTCATGTCACATGCACTGTCTCCTTAAATATGCAATCATTGACTGGGCTCTGTCCATGCAAGCCCAGGCACTTAGGGTTGTTGATGGATCCCAAAGCTAACCTAACAATTAATCCTAGGTTAACTTTGGGTTATTTAATCCATGAAGAACCCAGAGTGTCCAGGTTTGCATGTCAACAGCAACCTATGAACCAGTTAATTGGAGCTTGCACATTTAGAGTCCGTGGCATGTCCCCAGTAAAATATTGGGTGATTTAGGTGAGCCACTGGGTGACTCATGATTAGCTGTCTTTCTGTGTAAACTGGGTTAGCATCACCATGAGAAGAATCACCACTCAACAGTAGCGATTGGATCCAATTCTGGAGCAGATGTGGAGAGTACACAATAGGCTGAAGAGTGGAAGAGAGGACAGGAAGGTCCTATACACTAGTGGATTCAATCCACTGAAAAGAGAGGGCTTTTCACTTAAGTGTGCTGAGAAGTTAAGTTGTTCTGTGTGTTTCTACTTAAGCATCAAGTACTCTTTAGTGGTTGATTTTACATTTGCTCAGCAGTAGTAACTTGAATTACCTGCTCAGGAGCAAATGAAAGGAAAATGAAAAAGACTATTCTGTTTGTTACCAAATTTTAAAGTTAACTCAAAGCCCTAAACCAGGGGTCTCAAACTCAACTTACCTGGGGGCAGTCTGGGTGAGGCTGGGCCACATCAAGTATCCCACCACCACGGTGGTGGTGGGCCGCTCATCCCGCGTCGCTCCCAGAGGCCGGCCCGGGTGCCACAGGCGCTTTGAAGGCCGCAGGGCCCCTCCCCCAGGCCCCACCCATCCCGGCAATTGGCCCGCAGGCCGAGAGTTTGGGACCCCTGCCCTAAGCTCTCTAGAAGAGAAGGTGGATGTTATCCTATTAGGAATCCTACACAGAGGGAAATCCTAAAGTAAGGTATGCCCAGATGATACCTGTTTCACTGGAATTCACACACTTGCATTAAAAATAGTGAACTGGCCACTGCCTCCAGTTCAGCCTGCATTGTAAGTCACCCACATTTCTACAACTTCCATCTATTTGGAGGAGGAAAATAGTTTGGGAATCTGAGTGGGTGCTAACTTTTAAAAAAGCCCTTAATGAGGCAGATATTGCCTAAAGAAAATATTAATGGCTGTCGGATAATTGTGGCATGTTGAAAACACACACTTATAAAATGCGCAAGGAGCTGTCACTTTCAAAGTGAAATGTATTTTAATTAAATCCATTAACAATGCCTATGGGTTTAATGATGGGAATTTAAAATAAAACAATATCCTCAGTTCTCATTCAGAAATTCTAAAATGCATTCAGTGGCAATTGAAAGTGCCTGGCTTCTTTCAGCTGCTCCAGGTTGGGAGGTTTAACTGCAAAAGGAGCCAGCATTCTTCAACTACATGTAAGAAAAGGAAAGAATAAAGGGGGGAGAGCAACCTTCAATGCGAAAATATGGGCTAGCACAATCCTAGCAGGAAAATGGGGAGGATTATTGGATGTGACATGCATCTTTTCCCTGCCTTTTTTCAGCCAGGATAAGAACACAGCTATGGAACCCCATCCTGTTTGTCCAGCTTCAGAATCAACAGTAAGGACAGCAATGGCTTGTGCAGGAGAACACAAGACTCAGGATTGCTACCCATATTTGATTTCTTAAAAGTGCCATGAAGACACACTCCAACTGACCTGGAACTCTGCTTCCCTAATCCAAGTTATGTTAGGATCATTTGCATTTGCTTGGTAGTAAGGGAAAGGTCAGTATTTGTAGCCCCCTCCCAAGGCTGAGTCACTAAACCAGGCTCCAGGGTTAAGCTTCGTAAGTCTTGGTTCAATGAATCCTGAATACATTTCCAAAGAAACCAATAACCATCCTTCATCTCAGTACCTTTGGCTTCAATTCCTCAGGTATGCTATCCGCAAATTATTCCTATCAGCCTATATTCTACCTTTTCATTTCCATCAGTGCCTTGCAGAAAACCCTGTATGATGCACATTTAGAACAATTCCTATACTAGAGTGGGTTATTCTGTCAAAGCCCTTGTTGATCTGTAAAACAGGAAGATGGCCAGGACTATACTGACACAAGCTCTCCCAAGGGTCCTCTTGCAGGACTTACAGCCCAAGCACCATGGTTTTCTGAGGAGCTTGAGGCAATTAAGGGTAAACATCAACTACAGTCACAGTGGAAAAAACTAGACCAAGTCTGATTGAACATGGGATAGAATCCCCTTAAGACCTATTGCAAGGCAATGAAGGCAAGAAAGAAGTCTTTCTTCTCTGCCCCTATTTCATCAGCACAATGACAAAATTGCCTGGATTTGCTACAACTTGGATTCCACATGGAAAACAGACTCTGATGAGATAGATGATTGTCCAGTCCTGATAGGCAAGTTTCAGTCTATTCAGGCTGAGGAGGTGGACAAGTTGCTTGGAGGATCCAAGCTGTAAGAACTGGGCCCGCTCTACCTATAAAGGAACCCACAAAGGTCATGGACACAGATTCTGACTCAGATGAGGAGAGGGGATGCTGAAATGCCAAGGTCAGTCGATGCAGAAATAAGTCAAGCAATTGTTGAGAATCAGATGGTTTCAATTATTGTAAAAAAATAGTTTGGTAAGCATGCTAATACAGTAAGGGTAAACCTAGCATCTTTACCCCTAGGGTATGGTATCAGGTGAACACAGCTGACCTAGGGATGTGTGAGGAATTCAGTCTGGGGGTTCCTTGACTTTGGCCCACCTTCTCTCTGTTCTAAGCCCAACTTAGTGTTTCCTCATCAAGCCTTTGCACAGGCATCCAACAGAAAGTTAGTCCACTGTTGCATATTACAAATGCATACGTAGCAGCTGGTACTACACCAGGCTGGGCTTGCACATACAGTACCTGTATGCCCATATCTGTGGGCAGCAGTAGGACTGCACACCCAACACCGGCCATGTGTTGCACAAAGAAGGAGCCAACTACTGTTCCTGAGCCTTTGTAGACTTAATCTTCCTATGCCATGTCTAATATGATAAAGAAGTCCAGGGAGCACAAGATGGAGTCACCAGGATGGAGAAGGCTGACTTAGGGTGTTCTTGCTGACCACCCACTTTGATTGTCTAACCCTATTTCCATATTGTTACACAAGTACAGGGATTCATCTAACACTAAACCCCAAAAGTCAGCATCAGAGCAGTCTTACTGACTGCTCACTCTTTCTGCTAAATCTAGGCTGCTTCCAATACCATGGATAAGTACACGGATTCAGGTTTTCCTATTCCTGATCTAAATGTATGCGCAATCTTAACACTCTCTCTATACATTCAGACAACATACACAAAAGGAACACTCAGGTTTTCCTTGTTGACCACTCACTCTCCCTGCTTAATGAAAGCTATTTCCAGGTCCCTGGAAATGCTGAGGAGCACAGGTTGTCTCATCCATACCCGTACGCTGAATCCTAAAACTTGTATCATAACAAATTGGAACTAGCACAAGTTGAGCCATCTAGCAGACCTCTATCTGCAGGATTTAATGCAATTTACACAGTTCTTTTTTAACCAATTATGAAATGTATGCAAATTAGAATCTGAAACTTGTGACTGTAATATGATTTGTGCAGAATCAGCCAATTTGTACAAATCACAATTTATTAAATGACAATTTTATGCAAACTGGCCAATTCTGCAGAAATTACGTTCTACCAACACATAGTTTTCATGTGCATATTTGTAGAAAGTTCATTAGCAGTTTTAAAATGTGTGCAAATCACAGTCCATGTAGAAGCAGAAGGCTATGGGGGGAAATGCAACTTCTAATTGCATTGGCACACTTCTAATCATCAGATCAGAAGTGGAAAGAGAATCCACTGAGCTCAAATGAGCCAGATTTCCCTATTTCAGTAGATCTTTGCCTCTAGTATCACCAAGTGTTCCTACTTAATGAGTTAATTTTCTTATTTCAAAGCTAATTTGCTGATGCTTGATTATTGCCATCCACTGTTTTAATGTTTATTTAAACTGTGGTATAGTTTACAGCAATATTTTGGGTTGAATTTTATTACACAAAAGTCAACATAGCTTTATTGGAGGTTTCATCATTCCAAGATTTTCTCATTCTAAACATCAGCAGCAAAACAAAGTCCATCTGGTGGTTCTGCAGTACAGTTTTGAAATGTAACTATGCCAGCGTCACAGAAGAACATCTACTTTTATTCCCTTTTATAACTTGTGTGAACTAAAGTTGAATTGTTGTTTCATGTGAACCAGTCAATGCCAAGCCTTGCTGAAGGCAAATACATAGAATTCAACCCTGCCCTCAGTTACATATGAGTAGGCCCCGTAGATTTCAACAGGTCTTGTGGGCATTTCAGTGGGATCAGCAAAAGGCTTTCACCTTGTTTGAAATGAAGTTTCTCAGCTCTTTGTTTTTAGAAAGACATTTTCATTTACACACACATACACACATATGCCACTAACAATGAGGCATGCAAAAGGAAATTCCAGCTGGCAGGCTTCCTTTAAACTGTCAGTAGTTTTTATCCTCTGTAATATGTAATTTGTCAACTAAACTAACCAAGCCTGGGGCGGGGGGGAGTTCAGATGGAAGATGATTGCAATGTAGGGGAAACTCTTATGCTACAACCATTGCACACATAGTAATGAATGATTACTTCATATATAACAATATCCATGGAACTTTAAAAAAAGAAAACAGAGAAATCTCTCTCCAGACAAGAAATGTCAATAAGTGATTATTTAAAGATGTAAATACAGCATGAGAAGATAACGAGTTAATTCCTGGGAGAGCTCATAAAGGAAATTCAGGTTATTCATATTAGCACCAATATGAATGAAATGAGGGAGATGCAAAAAATGCCACAAGTAATCAAACTGAACAGCATGCTGACTTTCAAGTGTTTGAATTTGCATGCATTTTGTGTAATGCATGAATAAATTGTGAATATCTCAGGCTACTAGAAAATAGCAGTTTTAAGAGCAGTTCTCAAGTGCCCTTGATACTCAAAGCCATTAAACACCAAACCTCTTGATTTCCTGCCTAGGATTAAAGGAGACATTAAAAGGCCACTACTACAAATGTTTCTGCATTTGCATCAACATTAGAAGTTAAAAAAGAGATTCTGGTGTCTTAGCACCAAGCAAATTAGAAAATAGAAAGTTATACCCTCAAACCAATTTTAGTATTGTCTTGCTGCCAGCATGAAAATGAAAGGTACTTGAAGTAACTAGGTGGAAAGACAATCAGAGCTTTTTATGACACAAACACATTTATTGTTGATTATTTCTAATATCTTCAATTTGCCACCCCTAGAACAACAATACAGAAAATACTATAGAAATTGTATTTATTTATTTATGAAATTTGTATGCCGTCCAATTACCAACGTCTCTGGATGGCTAACAGCATAAATAAATTGACGACCCACTCCGGCTGCAAATACAATTTTAAAATTCAATATTAAAACATATTAAAATATTGATTAAATAAAAAGGTCTTGACCTGGCACCGAAAAACATATAATGATGGCACCAGGCGGACCTCTCTGGGGAGCGCATTCCACAGTCGGGGCGCCACCGCAGAGAAAGCCCTCCTCCAGGTAATCTGTCTCCTAACATCTTTCACGGAGGGTTCCCGGAGGAGGGCCTCTGCTGCCGATCTCAGGGGGCAGGAGGGCAAATAGGGAAAAAGGCATTCCTTAAGGTATCCTGATCCCAAGCCGTTTAGGCTTTATAGGTAATAACCAGCACCTTGAATTGAGCCCGGACTTCGATGGGAAGCCAATGGAGCTGATAGAGGACTGGGGTTATATGAGAATAAGCATTTTAAACATTTTTAGGAAAGGATCAACTTATAACTAAGTCAACTGCAGAACTGTGAAACTGGAATAAAGTATAATGGTGGAGCACATGCTCCTACATAGTCTGCCCCTATGCACACTTTTACATGTGGGCAAAAACAGACTTGACAGTTTCCAGTCAATGAAGTGCCTCTTCACACATTTGGTGAAGACAAGTTGCTGTTTGAGCAAGTACTCCTTTCACTCCTAGGCAGGGCCTACAGAATCTTGCAGTCCAGTCTCCTATTCCTGCACCAGGTGCTAAGAAAGCACTACAAAGGATGCTACTGTTTTTATCTGGGAGCAGCTGCCCAATCTCCCTTCCCCATTAACAGGAGCAAACTACGCTGCTACACAAATAACGGGGAAAAAAACTAAACTCTTCAATAGAATACTGAACTCCTCTCTGGTAGAAGCTGTGTCCTACGCTCTTTGTTTTGCTGCACTATGGAAAGACACTTGGGAAGAACATGACTGTATACAGCCCATATCATTCCCTTTAATTGCAAACCCTGAGGTAGCTAAGGGAGCACAAACCCACAGGAATAAGCAGCGAGCTCCCAAATGAAAAAAAACAAACAAACAAACCAAAAACTACTTACCTGGAAGACATTGGAGAAGTCTCTTAGGTTGAAGTTATAATGAAACTTGATAGCAGTTGGAAGGAATGTTGCTGCCACTTTCATGTGCAAGGAAAGAGCTAGATTTATTAACTGCTGAGATGATTTCTGTAAAGCCCCAGAGAAGTTCCCCTGCTTCAGGTGCTGCGACAGAATGGTGCTGTAAATGGTGGACAGAGCATCTGACCCAGGAAATGAGAGGGCAAACACACTGAAGTGGCGCTGCATGTAGGAAAACACAATACAGATTGGCAGGCATCACAAGAAACAGGAAGAAGGCACTTTTGGCAAAAGCACATTCACTGGTACAATGTTTCCCCGACCTGAAAATAACCAGTGCCTGGGTGCTTTCACGCACCTGTGCCCAAAGGCAGTGGGGGAGGAAGATCAATTACTTATTATTATTATTATTATTATTATTATTATTATTATTATTACAACATTTCTATGCCGCCCCTTGCCGAAGCCTCGGGGCAGCTTACAACACAATAAAATACAATACAAAAATAACAATATAAAATTAAAATTAATAATATAAAATAAATAAAAAATATAAATGATATAAAAGAAGTTATAGAAGAAAAGTTATAAAAGAAAAGAAAAGAAGTCACCCTGGCCAAAGGATAAATGAAGCACGGGTGTAAATGGTGATGTTGACTAAAGTTAAATGTTCATTGCCAGACTTAGGGCTGTGCTTGACAATTCCAAACAAAAGAAAAATAACGGGTTAACTAGGTAGTGCTAAGTTAACTGCCTGTTTCAGAAGGGTATCTGACCTGACCATTTAAACAACAGCAGTACAAGTAGCAGAGCTTTTTTTAAAAAAAAATCAGTAAATAAGCATGTATAGAGTGCTTTTAAGGGGTTAGAGCTTTTTATATACAGCAGTCTCCGGATTACAAATGAGTTCCATTCCTGAGAAAATGGAAGTTCATCTTTAAGTTGAATTTGTATGCAAGTCAGATCACATGTAGTTGGTCCTCCACATTCATGGGAGTTGGGGTGCAGGACCCCAGTGAAAGTGAAAAAACTGCAAATATCTCTAGGGCCCCACCCCAACTCACCAGTGGCTCCTTTTTCCAGCAAGGAAGTCCCAGAGAGATTTCCCGTCCTGGATAGGTGGAGCAAGAAGACATGCTTTGGAGGCCTCCCACTCTACCCTTTCACTTCCTCTCTCTCTATGGTGATGTTTTTTTGAAGCATTTTTTAAAAAAAGGCTTATGGCAGTTCCTTTGTAGGTATGACCTGTTCTTAACCTGGAGACTGCCTGTATGTCAGGAATCCTTACAGCACTATTATTTTCATACTGTGGATTATGAATGAGGAGTGCTTACAGTAAAAGGGAGTGGCTTTGCCAGAGATCACCTCAGGGCTTGAACAGAAAACTTTCCAGCTCATATT